GAAAAAAAAAAAAAAAAAAAACTCAGATTATACCATAACTGAAACCGATGAAGTATATTCTTCACCTAACAGAGATGAATAAACATATGCCCTGTCTGGTGATGCAATAGTGGTCCTTTAAGACAAGGTATAGACATCGATCGGGGCATATAGTACAAGCTGTACATATTATTAAATAACAAAAATGAAACACACACATATATACTTGTGGATTGTTATTCCAATTTTCAGGTTTTAGATGATGATGATGATGATGATGGCTTTTATGAATTGAATCTGGTGGACATTAGTCACTGATATTGACTACACCACTTCATAAAGATTATAAATGGCAAATTTTCTTCTTCTCCAATTAATGCTAATTAAAGGGTTGTAAAATGAGGGTAGATATATTTTTAGAATACTTATAATTATTTTATGTAATGCATACAACTACTTCAACTTGTATAAGTAACAAATTATTGAATCCCTCGCATGTCAAATAAAGCTAAGACGAGTTTTACTAAATTGTAGGAGTATATTACAATTTTAGTCGTGTAAGTTTTTACTACAATAACTTTTTCGTCCCTTTCCAATTAATTTTTGTTTTTGGTCTCTGATATTTACAAAAATTGTAGGAGTATATTACAATTTTAGTCGTGTAAGTTTTACGACAATAATTTTTTCGCCCCTTTCGAACTGATTTTTGTTTTTGGTCCATGACATTTGCAAAAATGTTATACAAAGGTTTCTGAGCATCTATAAGGGACAAAATTGAAACATTTTTTTTTTTTTTTTTTTTGCAAATAAGAGACCTTTTTGTAAGCCTTTTGCAAACATAAGGGATAAAAATAAAAACAATTGGAAAAGGACGAAAAAGTTCGAGTAGCGAAATATACATGACTAAAATTGCAATTTAATCAATTTGTGAAGATTGGAACTGAAATTAAAAGTTCAGCAAACTGGCAAAATAGTCAGTTATTTTGGAGAAAAGAAAATTATTGAGAATAAGCTAATTAATTAGCAGATAATTGCATAGCTTTACAGCTTTGAAATGCTATTAACTTTTTTGTGTTTTAGTTTAATTAATAAAAACTTTACAAGGGTGAGTCCTTATGTTAATTACTACCTCCTATTCTTTTTAAATGTCATTTTGGCTTTATCAACTATTAACTAAATAAATATCGTTTTGGGTATTTTGTACATGTTTTTTCTATTATTACCTTCATTGAGTCAATAAATGCACTACGTGTTTTCATATTCACTCTTCATTTTTTCTTAAACCATTCATCTCTATCTTCGGGTTATTATTGACAACAAGAATATTCTTAATTAGTGTGCAACTTCTCAAAACGACATTTATTTTGAATTTTTGAATAGGAGGGAGTAATTGTTAGGGAGCAGCGGTGTACAATACAATATTGGTCTTATGTGTTGTTATGATGTGTAGACTTTTGTCTTTGTAACGTCAACGATAAATTGACTCCATCAAGAGTATAATTATTAATAAATAATAAACACTGAAGAATTGAGGAAAGATGGTTTAGTTTGGCCGGCTCACCTTTTACCAAATTTTTATTTGGAAAATAAAAAATAAAAAAT